TGTGCCACGGTGCAAAGAATACATATAAGCGACTTTTCCAGCTAATTAGTATAACCCGCACAGGTTATATCATCTCAAAACTCAGTATGATTCTCTTTGTTGAACTTGTTCTCAATTCTTCTCAATTCGCCGCTCTTCTCAATTCAATATTCTTTCCGAAAGAGCTGTATTTTTTGAAGGGGAACACTAGATTTACTGTTAAGGCTGTTTTGACTTGCTTGCCCTACTGGCTCATCATGGTGATGGTGATAACACTCTTGTTTGAACCCGTGTTTCGAAGAACCCCAATCTTCAGTAAGGTTGGGTCGGATCCAGTAAGGGGATTATGTTTGCATTTGCGAAAAATGTTTTCGGTGATTGACTTTTCACAGTTAGTCCCGTTTCACGTGTGTGCGCTGTGCCCCTCACTCCCCTCTACCCTACTGACTTATCAAAGGGTAGAAAGGGAAGGGAGCGGAGGGGAGAGGGGGGGAGGGGCAGTATAGATTTTACAAAAAAAAAACTGGGGAAGTGGTGGAAAGATCGGACAATGTAGTGAAGTGATGGTGGTTGGGGAAGGAGTTCTTAGCCGATCAAGGGCTTCCGTATCAAACCAGTTTAATATTCAAAAGAGTCCTTTCTGCTGTTCCATCGAAGGTGTATTTGCCATGAAAATAAGTGGCTTCACCATTATAAAGTTAGTGAGGTAAAAGGAAGTGTACTAAATTCACAATATTTCCCAGTTTTTTTGACTTATTTCTTCTATAGGTTTTGTTACTGTGTGGCGCCGCCTTCGTATCGCTGAGTTGATGACATGCGCATGGTTGACAATGTTTGTGATCCGTATGTATGTTGAGATTTGGGAGAAGGTATGTAGATAATGTGGGCTTCACATTAATTACTCTTTCGTAGAAGATTATTTTCAGGGAAGAACATGGCGAGAAGCAGGTCCAGCATTACTTGCTAGTATTGCGGAGAGCACCAACACACCAATTTCTTTACTTGCTCTTGCTTTGACGGTTTCTTTCGTGTGTAAATGGGTTGTCGATGGCGCTCAAGTGGTCATCGGTGGACGTCGCGATCACGGACATGTGCTTGCTCATTCAGGGTTAGTTGTACAAACCCTTCATAAATAGTTACGTGGGAAGGTCTCCAAGTTCAGCTTCGAATAGCCGTAGAATTGCTTCTTTTGTGGCAGCAAGGCTGTTGGGTGAAAACTTCTGCTTGAAGGATTTGAAGTTGCAATCAGTCTGCCGTCATCCTAAGTCCAAACGTGGCTTAACAATTGAGTCATCATGACGAGAGTGCGGCTTCGTTAAGTGTAAGCGATTCTGCGCCTGATCTTGAACCACTTCTGGCCTTGAGGCGTACGAATCTGGACGGGAACTTCAGGCCATGCAGTGACAATAATGTTGCGCATCATTTTCGTCGTCAGCATAAAAGCCAACAAACGCATTTGAATTTTGTTCAAGTCGCATTTGAATTTTGATAGGTTTATTATAGTTTGCATTTGATTCGAATGGTTTAGGTATACTGAAGCATTGACGCTTGTCCTGTTATGTCTGCAGACTGGATTGCTCGGCATGAAAACTGAACAAAAAGCTTTCTTGCTCGGCCTTGTCTTGTTCATTGGTGAGTAACATTTTTCATTTAGTCGATGATAATTCACCTCTAGCAACATCTTCCTCGGCTTACTCCTTTTTTACGAAGTCTGATTTCCCTTTCGTTTCAGTGATGTCAGCACTACTACAGTCGTTATACGAGTTGCTTGAGCCTCAGTTGTTATCTTTGGCTGCTTCTCCATCAGCATCTCGCGGCCGGCATATTCGATGTTTGCTACTTGCAGCACATCTTTTCGTGGCACCGATCACTATGGGGCTTGTGCCATAACAGGCTTTTGCGCAATTGATTGTGGTCATGTTAGAGATAATTTCCTTTAAAGGAGAATAACTTGCAACTATTCTCAAAATGTGGTCGCTGGCTCTAAGGCCAGGAAGGGGATGGGTCGTATTTGCCTTTAAGAGAAACGTTTCCTGTTGTTGAGTTTCCTCGGTTTTCCTTTCAGATGCCCTATGCACCAGCGACCTCCCCACATCTCCCATCCTCATGCTCGACGGCGGTTTTTTTTTTGGGATTTTCAGAGGGACTTACTTTTTTGAGAAAAATTCTGGAAAGGTTATGAGATTCAGGAAATTTTGGCAGATAAAGGAGTCATGGTGGGACAGTCACCGTTGTACTGTATAAGAAATTCCTGATTGTTGTGCTATCTGCTTGAGTGTCCAGCTTCTCTAGTCCAGCGGTGTAGAACAGCCGGCATCACGCCACATTTCATCACAAATATGAAGGTCAGTGCTATGTGCGGCTATCATGATAATCACCCACTCGTTTTGAAGGTTTCTCTCTTTCATCTTCTTTTGGCAGTTCTCCTAGATTCCGCCAAAAACGCTAGGGTGTCGAGGCGTTGGGTGGTGTATCGAGGCGTTTGGTGGTGTAGAGGGTGCAAACCTTGAGCTATGTTTAAGGCCCTTGGGCAATGATCCCATCGACACGTCAGGCCAAGTTTGATAAAGTCTTCCACCTATCAACCTCTTTGGCAGAATACATCACAACTTGAACGATCTGCTTGAGTGTTTATAATGTTTTGAAGTCTTGCAGGTGTGTTATTATTGTGTCTAATTGTGTGCTAACAACTATACATGCGGCATCCTCAACTGTTCAGTATGCCATTGGAATGATTGAGGTCCTTTTTCTGTTCAAATAGCATTTTCAGTGCAGGGGAATAGTCCGCTAGAATTTTAAAACTATTTAGTCGCGTTCGACGGAACCGTGGGAACACAGCGACGATCTGATGTTCTGGACACGAATGGTGACTAAGGTTTTCGAGCTTTCCATAGCCCTGATTGTGCTTGTCTATGGCATCGTCTTCACCATATCTGGTGAGTGCTACCTGATGAAATGCTGATGGGAGAATTTCTGACCCCAAGCGGGATCTTAACCCGCACATCACGCCTTCCGGGTGAAATACGAGTGTATTCTCCACGGTTGAGTATGATTTGTGGGCATTTTCTAGTACCGCTGTTCTACGAAGTGTATGCAACCTACTGGTTGGAAAAAGATGTTTTTAGGGAACTGGACATTGGCTACTATAGCAGTATTGGTCTTTCATGTAATATTCAATATCTATAGAAGGTATCTTATTAGTCCAAAAACTCGGAACAACGTCTTCAAATGATCTTTTATAGGATGGAAACACTGCTAGGATCAATGACTGCTCGGCAGGCTGCGGTAAAAAATATCAACCGTCTGGCCCGTGCTAGCAGGAAGAACTGAAGTGGTATGCTTGGAATGAAAGCTTATCTCAGTTTATAGGGTCTTATCCGATGCAATTATAGCTATCAATGCCTAATCGTGTTAGAAGGCGGAATTAGAGCTGAAGTCCACTAACAACTATATCCTCTTTTTTTCCGTGGACAATGTCCTCATCAGCTTGAGGACTAGGTTTCCGGAACCTAATGATAGTACAAAAGTTCCGAAGTCCTTCTTTAAAAACCTTCCATTGAACTATGTGCTGGCCTAACGACTTGGTTCCAAAGGGCACGCAACTATGCGCCAGTTGTGAGGTTCTGTGGTGTAGTGGTTATCACGTCTGCTTTACACGCAGAAGGTCGTCGGTTCGATCCCGGCCAGGACCTTTCGTTTTGCCTTAGGAGCATTTTGAAAGAAATGTTATTCTGACTATGCAGCGCTGATTCGGAAGTAATTGGATACGATTCGGATATGCCACGGCTTGTTAAATAGAGCTCAACGCGTTTCCAAGTTTTTTTTTTTTGTTTGTAATGTATATCGAAACTTTTGCGCTGAGAAAATCTTAGGTCTGGGCGGTGTCCGGCTCAGAGGGTACTTTATAGTCCGTTACCTTCCATCGCTAGTTTCTGTTAAGCTGCACTTATCACCTTGATTAGACCTGTGGAGTCTTGTAAATTGTGAAACTCTTCAGCCAAAACCACCTTGTACACATGCATAAGCTCATAGTTTTACTTCTCACTCTCATTCAAAGTTGAACCAGTCAATGAATTCTTTCTAAACTTTTTTTACTTCATGTCCCAATTGTTTTTGTTTAAGCTCGAAGCGATGTTTGTGCGGTTTGCCTTATGGAAATGTGGGAAGAAGCCCGAGTGACGCCCTGCAAGCATTTCTTCCATGGAGCATGTCTTAGGAAGTGGCTAGCAGTGCGACAGGTATGAACTTCGAGCTCGAGCCGTTACTCAGTAATTAGCTCATAGGCGTTTCATAGCGTCACACACCTGAATTATGCTCTACGTATGCATCAATGCGCCACAAATTATTCCACTCATGTTGTGTGATTGGTTTTAGGTCTGTCCGCTATGCTATTCAGAGCTACTGGACCCTATAAGTGAGCCGACCACTGAAGAACTCAGAAGAGAGGCATCACCTGAACGTGAACGTGAAAGGTTACGCGAAAGGAATACGGAATGGAGAGAATTGCGGGCCATAGAAGGAGCTCGTGACATGTGGCCGTTGATGGAACAGTAAGAATTCTCTCTTTTTGTTTAGTTAGTCATCCGAAGCGTATCATCACCCAGACCAGCATTCGTGGTTAGTTGACTCATACAACGCTTTTTCGTGGCGCACTTCGGCGACGGGGTGCATTCTGCCTCCCATCGGTGTCGACCTTATCTAGATAGCTTTTTCTTGAGTTGACACGTAACCATGGTTTCTAGAGCTTGCTCCAGCTTCACAAGAGTTCACAACTTTCACCAGAGTGAGACTTGTAAACCGGAAGTAGTGAGCAGTGAAGTGTAAAATGCCCTCCCCCCCTCCCGTCGCCAAATGCGCCCTTTTTTCATTAGGTCATTTGGGTAATGCGCCTTGAATCGCTGTCAGTCTTGTTCGCCTTGGATGAAGGGGTGATTCGACACGACATCAGTTCAACACCAGCTGTTCAGGTGCAAGCGACAACAGTTAATGGAAAACCTGATACGAATGATACAGTCGCTCTCGTAACTGGTGGTAAACGGGTTTAGTGCCTCGCCATACCTGTCCCGTCTGACGCCCCTTCATCTGCAGCGAACCAGAGTGTACTTCACGGCCTATAGATGCTAAAAGGTTGAATGAAGCTCATCCTTAAAAAACACTTGTATTGATGGCTCGGGGCATAAGCCCTTCTCCAGACCAACGGAGTGTGGAACGTAGCACAAAACATGCGAACAGTTCAGGATACAGGTTGCTAAGACGTAATTGACTTGACGCAGAATGTTGTATCGAACCACCTAGCTAAGGATGGTGGTTCGCGCACTATTCCGCTCGCTAATAGTTGTTACACTTCCAATGCAACGCCACTGAAAATCCTGTGGGTTCTGATGCGAATGTCGCGCACAAAAGACCACTCACAAGCAGGGTACGTCCTGCCGTTGTGGAAGAAGTTTGCAAAATATTAGGTAAACCAAAAACAAAGTTTTTGGTCTTGTTTTAATTGTCTACTTTTATAAAGTATATTCAATAAACTGGATCTATGTGGTTGGGTATCATTGAATACATGTTAAGACATATGTCAAGGAGTGTTATTGGCGTGTTTTTAATGTGGTTAATTTGAAATTATTTCAACTGAGGAAAACCAGAAAAAGTGTGCGGTTTTCTACCAGGGATTTATGGCCGGGGCTAAGAACCACTACACTGCGAAAAATATACTTAAGAAAACATATCGCGCGACTAGGAATGGGAAATTCTACCTCAACCCTGCGTACTTTCGCTCCAGACGTACTCGCCAAGTTACTCCAAGTGACTATCATTGTTTTTGGCCTTGGACAACCACATGAGGAATCGGCGATTTGAAAATGAAGTGGCTTTGGACAACGAACTAAAACATTTCTTTAATTCCCAAAAGCAAGATTTTTACAAAAATGGAATATATGCTCTTGTGTCTAAATGGGAAAGTGTATTACTTGCTGAGGGTAATTATTTTTCGGAATAAATCTAAGTTTAACCCGTTTTTTATGTTATTATTTCGCTACCTTCAAAACCGCACGAACTTTTTTGGTTGCCTAATACATCCCCCCGTCGAGATTTCCATCTCTGGTACGCCCTCTTCGTTCCTCATACCCATACTATCTTTTTAAATCTTGTCCCGTCATCCCTTCCGTTTTCCTAGAATTTCCCGTCTTCCTACTACTTTTTTGGGGCTTCTTCCAAAAATTCCCCGTTTCTCCAAGGCACTGCCGCCAAGCAGGAGAGTATATGGCGCACATTAAACGCAAAAAGCGAGGAGAGTCAACAATTGTAATCATTTTCGCTAAGGCGAACACGACCCTCTCCCCCTCCCTGTAGCTGATGGACGTGATACACTTCAGAATTTAACGGGTTAAAACCACTAGGTCTTGGTGCGAATGTCGCGCATATACGAGCACTCACAATGCCTCTTTTGCACCTGCGCTGCAAAGTCGTCATCCGGGCAGTTGATTAGCCGTGGAAAGGATCAGCTATTTCCAGCCTAATTTAGCGATTTTCTCCCTAATTTTCACTGTATTTCCTATTTTTTTTCAAGGTAAGTTGCGTTATTGTCTATATGAAGTATATTAAGACGTGAACTCTTTTTTTGTTCTTGTAATGGAGTGTTTTTCGCGATTTTTTTAGGTATTTGTTTTGTTTGTTTAATCGTTTAATTGTTCGCAAAAGTTAGAAAAACTCAATCATAATTACCTTGTGAAGACAAGGAACAGCTAACCTTGAAAAAAGCAGCCAAAAACAGTGAAAAGTAGGGAGAAAATGACTAAACCAGGCCGGAAACAGCTGATCGCCGCAAACAGTTCCTACGCACGCGGTCGCTGCTGCAGCCGCGTCTGCGGCCCTTGACGACCGCCCTAATCAACTGCCTGGATGGCAAGTATATGTGTTGAACATTGCTGTTGATACCCTGCTAAACTCTGTACAATTTAGAGTCTTCGAGAACGAAAGCGACACAGAAAGCGACTCTTCATCAGCTACAGAATACACGCTAGCAAGTTCAGAAAATGAATATTTGGAGTAACTGCACAATGTTCATGGTGCGCATGTGATACTTAGCCTTAGGGTTAATTTCGGGCTGAATATGGGTCTTCTGCTGTGACTTCGTTGCTTTTTGATCTTTTTTTAATGGTTACTTTGCGACTTGCTTTTCCTTGTTTGCCATGTTTTCGCTTTTTGGAATTTTCTCTTCATCAGTAGTTCATAAGAATTAACTTGATTTTCAAACAAAGTCGTTTATAGTATCTTTTTGAATCGATCGCTAAGCCAGAGTTCTAGAGATGGATCTTGTTTTTCACGGTGATTTTAATTCTCATCTACACATGTTTATTTCTTCGTCTTGTTAGTAAGCGTCTGTACAGTCTTGTGAAGCACTGAATGTTCTCGAGGGGCAGTCCGTGAGGGAGAGGTGTGGGGGAGTCAAGGTAGAAAGGACCACTTGTGCAATTGTCAACCAGACGTGCTCTCGCTGCGAGGGTCCAGGGGTATTTTCACGAGGCATCTACCAGTCCAGTTTGAAGGGAGAAGGTAAAGGAGGAGGGATCAGAGAAGAGAGGAAAAGAAGGAAAAAGGAAAGAGAAGAGAGGCTTCCCGGTTGACAAATGCCCTGAGACGGTTTGGCCTCAGACAATGATTCCCGTCTCCATTAGGGCAACCGTACTTTTGCACAAGTTCTTTACATGCCCCCCCCCCCTTTCTTCTAGCGGATTTGCGCCTGTTTTTGGTTCACTGGCCTGCTCCTGTTACTATTTAGCACATAGTAGTTAAGCTTATACTCGAATGTAAATGGATTGCTGCATTTCTTCCATATTTGTCCATTTCTTGAGTAGTTATGTACATAAACAGTTTTAACTTATCCTGAGTTGTTGATGAATTGGGTTCTCTGCCACGGTTCGTATCTCATCTTTTCCGTAACAGTACCAGTGCAACTGTTTCACCATATTAAAGTACAGTCTAGGTCATTTTAGCGATGGCGTCGCTCGCCAGGCCGTCACTGCGGTTGACTCGAGCGGTTGCAGTGCAGATTCAGCCTTGCCGTAACCAAGTGAAGACGTGCCCCTCTCAACCTGCTATGGCCAGCCAAAAGGAGAGCGATTTGAAGAAGAAAATGGCTGAGCTTAGACACATACCCGATTTCCCGTGAGTGAGCGTTGTCTAGTTGTAATTGAGCTAGGAGTGCTGGTCCAATATAGGCTCGCAGTCCTATACCTTAATACTAATGTACCGTGTTAGGACGTGCCATGAGGTTGTGTCACGTCTCATGTCACGACAATCTCAAGGAAGTGTCCCGTGACACTCCTTTCGCGCCATTTGTGAAGTTGATCGGGGTATGTCCATTCGATAAGTGATGGGAAAGCCTGGCTAGGGCCTCCGTAGAACCCACGCGAAACTGACTTGCCTCGATCGAGTGCAGTGATAACGGCTGTATACTATGTATTTTTTGACACCATTCACCATTACTGCTCTCTATTCATTTTTTCCTCACCTTTTGATGGAATCTTTCCCCTAGCGGTGGAATTTGACCGCGTCATTGTCCCCGGGGTGCTCTGACCCCCCCCCCCCCTCCTGAACCGCTCAGCCATTGCGCACTTGCGAGACGTTTTCGGATGAAGCGAATGCGATATTGAGGGGTTAAACTACGTCCAGGGACGGGATTTGAATGCACCTGGCGTTATGTGGTGTTCATGCACCCGAGCCCAC